CCTTTTCCTGAGTGCTTCACTTTTAACTTCTGTGTATTTTGTCTATATTGTTATATATGTCTATATATGTCTATTCTGTCTATATTGTTTTGCCATGCCAATTATTAAGAACTGTGTGGTCTCTTATTCTAAGCCCAAAACTGTCAAGACGTCTGTGTATGCTATAGAAATCCTAAAGACTGCTTGCTTATATTTGTGTGCTGCCCCCCACTAGGCAAATAAGTGTGTTGCAAATTTCATTGGTGGGGAAAAACACCAGAGACCTCACAAAAATTGTTATGCAAATGTCAGGTTATTATTAGTCACGATCATAATCTCTGGACAGTCTTCATTAAAATCATGACTGCTCCTAACTTTTTTTTTTTTCCTTTTCTGTGGTCCTGTACTGCTTCAGGATAAAGTGTAAAGACTATATTAGCATGTATGACAATGTTCCTAGTCTGACATCTTTGGGAAGAGCAGGCAAAGCCACAAGGGTGCAACAGCCGCAGAAGAGGATGTGGAAGCATGGCAAGTGTGTAGCAAGGAGATGTGGTTTTCATCTCAGTTGCACAGTGGGAAGTACTGCATTCAATAAGTTTTCTGTTCTCCTTACTTGAACACTTTTGAGCCTACAGACTTTTGTGAAAAAGGTGCTTGAAGAACGCTCCTCTTACTTAAAAGTAAAACAAAAAATAAAACAACTGAAGTTCTTCTTAAATAAAACAAGATGCTGAAGTATATCTTACAGCAGGAGACCATCAAGACACAAAATCAATCAATCTGGCTCTAACAGTATTACTTGGCTATTCTATTTCTCAAGAGTTTCTAAGAGGATTTCATGTTTTCCAGTCTGTTCTCACTAATGAGCATTCAAAAGGACTGGAAAGGTGTTTGGGAAGTGTACCTTTCAATTCAATAGTTCAGACAAAGGCCTAAGAGAAAAGTTTTCAAAAGGAGAGAAGAGTCTGAGCGGCAAAAAGTGATGCGTTTGGTTGTTCTGTTTCCTATGTGGAGTTGCAACAACATGGATGTCAGGAACATTTTGACATTTCCTGAAGAATAGTTTGTCCTTATAAGCAGAACAAAAACAGTATTTTGTCTTTGTATAAGACAGTAAAAAGATGAGAAGAAAAAAGAACTATCACAAATGTGTATGGTGGTGACTTATCTACTTTTTAGTAGATAAGGTGAGCAAGAGACAGCACTGACATTTAATGTACTACGGCTACACACTGTAAAGCATTTTTGCCTTGATCCTCGATACAAGTTGTTTTGGGAGACTTATTTGTTCTTTTCCTTTGTCATTTATTTAAATAAATCTGTGACTCATTTTCCCCGGAGAAGCTGGCTATGCTGCTGACAAAAGAAGATTCAAAGATTAACAAACTAGTTGTCTTGCTTAGGAAAAAAAAGAAAAAAAAAAAGTTGTTATTTTGCCTGCCATCCTTTTTCTGAAGACACTCACTTGAAAATCTGATGGGTACACTAATCAAATTTTACTTTTGGTGGTAGCCAGTTTGCACAAGCAGACTTCTTCCTTCCCCCTTGTGCACCAGAGAGGTCTTGCTGTGCGTCCTTTGTGGTCCTGCAGGAATTTCAGAGGGTTATTCAAGAAGATTAACTTTATACTCCTGAAATCCCTAAACGCTGTGTCATGGCCCATGAATGAGCAGCAAAATTAATCTGGTACCATGAAATACTGATGGAGTACTTGTTGTGTTACTTTTTATTTTAATGACGGCCAAAGCCCTTGTGCCTAGTTTCAGTAGGAAAGTTCTTTTGGCAGTCCATCTGCCTTCCTACTGTTGACCTGCTGCAAACAGCCACTTTCCCCACTCAACTCATGTCCCACCCTCTCCCTTCTGCTTCTGGGCTGCCTGGTTTTTGCTTCGGAAAAGAGGCAGCGAAGTAGGGAATCTTCTGCTCCAGCAATCTGTCACTCTTCCTTTAAACTGTATACCATTAGCCTGGTGAGCAGTGACATGGGAGGAACTTGACAACAATAATTTGGAAGCTGAGAAAGACAACTGCGTGCTGGCATTGGTGAGATGTACATATCTTTATCTAGGATAAGTCTACAACAAAATGAGCTCAGTGAAGCTGAAGGAGATGTTGCTGGTGGGAGGAGTGGAATTGGGAAAATTGATGTTGTGCACACTGTGATTATTATTTACTCTGTGAGAAAGCATGAAAAATGGTACACATAACATGTGTGAGAGGACGCCAGCTTCAGGAAGATAGTACCTGATGAAAATGGTGAAAAAAATAAAGCTAGACACAGATGAAGAAAAGAAGAGCTTTATATCCATACCTAGATGTAGGACTTAGAAAATACTATTGTAAGGGAGCAGCAGAATGAAACTGAACAAAATCCTTAGAACATTAAAGAAAGAAATGCCATTTAGCTGCAGTGCCATAGAAAGGTATTTTAAATATGGTCTGTTCCATGTTTGTAGGTAGACTTAAGTTTTGATTTATATGAACCTAAATGGTCCTAAATTTTGATTCATATTGTAAATTATAAGCCTGCTGGAGTAGTCTCATCTTTGAAATATACTTAGAGAGTGTCCCGTATTCAGTCATTTCTCTCCAAACTTAGAAGTGTGCTAGCTCAGTAAGTAGCCCTTAACTTTTGAACTCAGCCTTCTCCTCAGCCTCTGTTACCCAGGATTTAATACAGAAAAAATGAAGATAATAACATAATGGTAAGTGCTACACAAAGGACAGTATATTGGTATTTTTAGATAGCTACATTTCAATTATGCCCACCCACCTGACAGATAATGATGGGCTGATTTCACGTCCAACAGCTGTTCTAAGATTTGCCCCTGCACGCTTTTAAAATCAAATAAATCAAAATTCATGTACATGGAAGGATGGCAGACTGCCCTTCATCATCTTCCTGGGTTGCCTAGCATTATGCACTGAAGGGAGATTACATCAGGGAGAAAGGGCTGGAGAGAAAAGGGAGGGATTTGACATAAGCGCCCAAGGTGGCTAGGATGAAACTTTGCTACAGGAGAGGGTGGTTTGATACTGCTGTAGTTGTAGAGTGGATTTTCTCCATTTACAAAGTAATTGCAAGGGAGAAAAGAGGAAAAAATAAATGGACAAGGCAGGTTTGAGAAAGTCTCTGGTGTTTTAACTCATGTCAGTCTGGAGATCTTTTGATGAACAGCAGCCACCTCACAACAGTGTTGGCCCACCAACTGTGTGGTCGAAGTGAGATGGGCAGCACTGCAGCCACAACAATATTTTGGCATCAGGAACAAATCTTAATGCCTTTTCCAAGCAAAGGAAGATGCTGAGGATTTTCTGTTCTGTAACTTACAGTCCTTACTTGTTCTGGTGAGCATGTGGAGAAATATATTTAGGAGACCTACAGTCAAGTAAATATGAACACCTACAAAAAGCCATGAGACTGTCTGTAAATTTGGATTCATTCTCCTTATTTTGTTATTTCTTGTTCAGGGCTGAGCTCACCCATTTTAATGAACATACCATATTGCCTTATCTAAACCAGAATTGTGATACACATACCTTGTATGTTTTCTCAAAGTCATATTCTTGAGTGTCTTTTATCACTTTTATATTTTTGCTGCTTATGGGAAAGATTCATTTGGACTTGTCCTGGCTGTTTTCATGCAAGACAGAACTTTCAAATCTCAGGGTCAGAACCTTTAGTCACTGACTTCGGTTGAAGAAAGTGGTTTGTTTACCAGTTCAAGTCATCCTTCAGACTTGCAGATTTTACTTAAACCTCATTTCTTGCCAAGGAGGATTCATTTCTTTTATTACAACACATTCAGAGATACAAAAAAAAAAAAATAAGTATATTTATTCTCATAATTGGAGTGACGCAGCTGAAGGAAGTTTGAGGGAGAAGAGGGAAATGTTCTTTGTGGTGGAAACAAGGTCAGCATCAGTAATCAAAGCTCTGCCCCTCCCTTCCTGCACATCAGAACAGGCAATGTTCAGCCTACAGATCTCCCTCAGTTTTTCTATCCACAAAGTGAGAGCACTGCTTTTTCCCAACCTTAGCAGAATTTTAGAGTGGTAACTATGATGAAGATGTTCTTATATGAAGAACAGTAAAAATGAGACTTTGCTTATCTAACTCTCATTCTACATACAGGCAGTTGTCAATCAAAACCTGATATTCTTCCATCAGGCAGGTCTCCAACCCGATCTGTATCCTTTCTACGTCACATGCTGAGCAGAGTGACACAGAGACAATATTCCTGTTCTTGTACTGCACACAGAACCGCACTCATACAGAGCAAGTATTGCTTTTAATTGAACAGTTCATGGCCAATTATTATAATTTGCGCTGTTAATTACTGGAAATTATTGTGTAAAATTCTGGTGTGATAGCCTTCTGTGATTCTTAATGAAACAGTTGCTAATGGGAGCTTTCACACACTATCCCTGTGTGTGACAGGCAGCTAAGTATCACCACCTTCTGCTCCAGGTGTTCTCACAGAAGCTGGTGCCCTGGGGTGTGACGCTGCAAACGCATCTATTCCTGATCCAAAGCCCATTGTGGTCAGCAGGAGTTTTCACTTTCAATTCAATTGGCTTTGAGACAGGCTTGAGGGAACAGAACACTGTTGGCTTTATTCAGTCCAGGGTTTGGTTATTTGTTAGGTAAAAGTCACATGCACAAGCTGAGGTTAAACCAAGCAAACAAGTCATTTCTGTAGGAGCAGAGGAAAGCAAGTGACTTGGTATATACAGGATAAAGAAATTTTGTGCAGGTTTTTTTTTTTTTTGAGGGTTCTTTTTATATAATTTACTCCTTTGCAAAAGGAATTTGTTCTAACAAGATTCTAAATAATAGTCCAAACAAGATTCCTAATAAAGAAGGCATGTTCTGCTTTGTAGAGACAGTATGACTAAACAGAGTTTCAGTTCCCTTTCCAGTGGCTGTGTGGCAAAACCACTTATAAAGAGAGCTCAGGTCATAAAAATGCATACAAGTGGCTGGCAGAAAGGTCTGTTGCTGACTTTATTTGCAGGTTTTCTGTAGGTCAAGAGCTGTGCATTGTGTTCCTCGGGTGTGCAAATGGCAACATAAGGAAATGCACAGGCACATACAGCTTCAGCACCCAACATTGAGGTATGTGGCTTTACTAACAACAGACTCACTGGGGCAAAGCCTGTGGCTGTGATTTTGTTGAGCGGCAGGTTTGATTAGTGTCCATCCCGAAGAAGCAGACTGATTTCATCATTGTTTTGTTTTGTTTTGCCAGGCTGTAGCTGCTTTCTTCTTATGTTTTTGAGCAGATGTTGCTATGAGGAAAGGAGTCAGCAATGACTGATGTGGAGCCCCTGGTCACAGATTTTGCAGCATCAGGAAGGTCGGGCCGCCGGAACGCCTTGCCAGATATCTTGGGCTCTCCTGCTGGTGCTGGGACTTCAGACCTGCCACACAAACTGGCCGAGCTCTCCGTTTCAGAAGGTAATGCCTGCACATCTCAGAAGCAGACATTTCTATGCATTCTGCCATCATGCAATTTTGATGTCAATACTAATCTCTCTGTCTTCATTCAGGATTAAGTTCAACCTTCTAAAGCAGTTACCGCTTGTACCTCCTAACAAGACAAGTTAATTTTAACCCAGACTGAGTCTGCCACATCCACCCACAGATTCTCTGTGCAGTAGGTTGTGGAAGGGTGCTGGAAACTGAATTCCAGTTCCACTGAAGAAAGGAAGAAACAATACATTTCTGGGTAGAGTGGAAAACCATCACACCAGCTATAAATTAGGGTCTCCTCCTGCACTGAGATAACGTAGCACAAGACAGTAAGCCATGCTGCTGATCCGATTACAGCTGTCATCCTAACTCAGACGTTTAGATTAAGAGTAGGGTTTACACTGATTTACTCCTGCTACTAAGCTTTGGACATTGCTATCTGACAGCAGTGTTGTGTTTTGCCACTGTCTTTAGGTTGGTAAGTGCTCTGTTAATGAACACGGGTCTAATTGATGCTGGCTTTGCATTTGAAGTTTTGTTTTTGTTCTGTTTCATTTTGTTTGTCTTTTTGCTTTCAGAGAGATTGTCAGATTCTTTTCACTGCTCAGACTGGACTGAAGAAAAGCCTGATTTCTGATGCCTGTGAAAAGAGAATTATAGGTTGTCTCTGAGCATGGCTAGCCCCTACTTTTTTAGGTCCTGATTTGGAATAATTTTTCTTTCTCATTCCTGTCACTTTTGCAGCTCTTACAAACACCCCTGCAGCTGGTGGTCTCAATTCTAACAGCTGCAATGGTGCAGGGACAGCGCAGTGAGCCTGTGCTAAGGAATGGAGGGCCCATGAATCCGAGCAGGTTACAGGAAGGATTTCCAGGATGTATGTCCTGTATGTCCTGCTTGTATATCGCTTAAAGCAATTGCAGGGTGTTGAATTTACAGCCTCCTAAAACACCATGAAGTTGTTGGGGGTTCTTTGATTACAATTTGGTTTTGCTCTGAACATTGCATTTATACTCATGTCTTTGGGGTTCTGTAATCCAAACCCATCTTGGGCACATCAAAGGACTGCTGGTGGTGAAGGTAGGGTGGGCAGTAGGTAGGGTGGTGCTGGTGGGCAGGTAGAAACAGCACTTCCAGAAGGAATGCGAAGGGACTGGATCACCACCTCCTGGCTTTGAATGTGGGAAGGAGAGAGAAATAAGGATCTGAATGGGATCTGCTGGAAAGAGGCATTACCTTTGAAAAAGGGAATAAGGACTTATAAAGGGGAGAGGGTGGACATAAAAAAAAGGGGGGGAAAACAACAAGGATGGTCAGATATACTTAGGCTGAAGGGCAGTACTGAGAAGAATTGGGGGAATCTGAAAGATTCCCCCAATTGTGTGTGACTTCAGCACTGAAAATCCATTCCAAAGTTTAGACAGGCACTTAATGTTTAATGCTTTAATTTTCAAATACGATGTTTGTTTGTCTGTTTGTTTGTTTTAATTTCAAAAAGCTCTTCCACCTGGCACAGGTTGCACGTGGTGAACAGGGAGCAGGCTCAAGCAAGAGGGAACTGTTTCCCTTATCAAAGGGGATGCAGATGGGAATTGCTGTTGTTATTAGTGTCAGAAGCTGTGGAAGTAAAGCTCTTGGACTGGCGAGTCCAATCCACTGAAATATTCATTCCTACATTACGTATAACTAACCTTTGTATTGTTTAGAGCAGTGAACCTTGAGGGACGTGCACAAAACCATGTTAAACAAAGCTCAAAACATACAGCAGTGGTAGATAAGTGGTGCCTCATGTTTGTTTCATTTTGGTCTCTGGAAAGCTTAGTAGTTGGAAATTATATACTTTTTAAAACATGGAAAATTTCTCTCTGATCCTTTTTTTTTTTTTTTTTTCCCTGAATAAAAATAAACATGAAAGAGTGAATGCCTTGTTAAAAGAAATGTTACAGCACAACATATAATAAGCACTCTAGACAGAATAATCCTCTTCTGGTGTTCATCCAATGTATAAAGAAAAAGAAATGACACAGCTACATTAGTATTAGCAAAATGTACCAATGCTTTCTTACAAATGCAAGGACCAGCACTGCCAGGATTTGGAGAACAATTTAGAGCACGGAATTATCCTTTGCTTTTGTCATTGGCATATAGCTGTACCAGAGCATGCCCGGAAGGAGCAGCGGCTGTTATCAGCACTCTGCAGTAATGATAATAGAAAGTGAATACAGGACACAGTTAGTCACACTGTGACAAGTGGGCCCTGCTTGGGTGCTTTTTGGGGTTTGGAATTGGGAATTCTACAAGTACCGAATGGGAATTACAGCCTCATTTTCTTGTCAGTTAAACTTCCAATCAGCCAGCAAGCAAAATGAGGGGAACTCATCAAAATGGAGAGAAAGTTTGTTTGTAAGTTCAAATGCTATGACTGGGAAATTGTTTGCTTGGGAAACATTTTGGAACACAAGGAACTCTTTTGCCTGTCTCTGGCTTTAAAAATAAGCTATTAACAAAATGAAAGCCACTTCCAGCTCAGAGCAAAAAGGCTGGATAAATGAGAAAAGTGAAGATGGAACATGTGGCTATATAAAGCATGCCCTATTTTTTTCTGCTGTGAAAGATTCAGTGAAGATTGTGGGAAATGGTGAGGAGGACTCTCCATCTTGCTTCAAATTTAGCTAACGCTCATTGGATCATACATTTCCTTTCCTTCTAAAACGCTGTTACTTGCTGTCAGAGAGAAAGGTCAGGAACAGAATGTGCTAATACCATTTGTCTGGTTGCGATAAGATGCATGTATTCTTTATGAATACACAAGGATCCTGTCTGTGTGATACAAATTGCTGTGTACCCTGAAGGCTGCACCAAATTCATGTTCTCATTGACACGGATGGGAGAGATTTTGGCACCAGCTACTTCTGTCAGAGCCTAATTCTGAAATTAAGGCTATCTGTAGCCTAACTACCTCTGGTGATGTGTTAGTTTTGGAGGGCTGATACTTCCCAAAGGTGGTCTGGTAGGAGGCTGTAGTGGAACCACGTTAAACAATTGATTGTTGTCACTGGAGATCCAAAGGTTAAAGAGGAGTCTGCAAGAAGCTTGAGAGCAAAGAGGCCACACTGGCCACCTGTAATCTGCTTTAGGGGAAAATTCTGCAAAAAACTTGTTTGCTGATTTTTTTTTCTAGGTGACTGTGTATGACTGACTTGATGCACTCAGCAGCTTAGCACTTGTTGCACACCTAAATGCTGCCAAGTACGAGATTAGATTTCCTTGAGCAAAGTATGTTTTCCTCTACCCTGTTTGCAAGACTCCACTGGTATTGGACATCCAACCCCACACAGAAGCAGCCAATAGAGGAGATTGCTCTATCTCCCCTTCCACAGAGTGCTGTGCTATGTAATAGTGAAGGATGGCAAATAACTCATTTCTTAATTTACCAGTGTAAATCTCTAAAGCCTCCAAACCACTGAGCTGGCTGAGAACATCAAGCAGTTTCTGCCAAGAGCTTTAGCTGATGCATTGTTGTTGTATGTAGAGACCAAGATATATAATTCTTTTGTCTCTTTGTGATATTTAACGGCAAGTCTTCAGGGCAAATAGCTGAAAATGTACCCCTTAGATTATGACTATTAAAGTGGATAGAACTTGGAAGATGGTACAACCAGATTTGCTGAGCAGATCCCTCCTTGCCTGCAAAAGCTACTGTCTGTCTTAGATTTGTGTATACAAACTGTTTGTTACCATTGTTAATGCCATGTGGGACTTGAAGATAGTGTGAAAATAATTACACTTTGCAAAGAAATCAAGGCAGGAGGAGTTCTCATTTCTCAGTGACTGAAATCAAGCATCAAAAGAGATGGAGCTGAATTCTGTTGTCCTAATGATGACCTTGACCATAAATCACTTATGCTAGGGTGCTTTTACTTGTACTACTCATGTAATCATTCCACTGTAATGTATGGAAGAATGAGCTTCCAAGCCAGAATACAAGGGAAAAAATAATATATATATATATATATATATACACACACATCCCCTCATCTTGTGAAAACCGGATGAATTTTCCATGGTATTTCTTGGTAAGGAAGGTCAGCCAGATAACTGGCATGTTCATAAATTGTAATGTTATCTACCTGAAACCAAGCAATGCTGAGAGGAATGCAATATTCTAACCTGACTTTGGAAATATACCAGAAAAAAATAATAATAATGAAAAGTTATCTCCAATCTGATTCTTACAACCAAGTACACATTGATCAGCAGATGCAAGGAGCAGTGAAATCAGCATCAGTAGGAAATTGCTTTTGGATGATGCCTTTGCAATTTCTTTATCTTTTGAGTTAATCTTCTTTTCCAAAGCACCCATGAGTGTGGTAATAATGAGCCAATCTAAATAGTAGTGATCAGTAAACCCAAATATTTGGCTGCAATTAAAAAGCTCTGAAAGTGTGCGTAGTATAAACGTTGGATTCTGTGTTTTTTCTAGATGAAGGAGCAGAAGGTGGAGAAGTACCATCATCCAAAGCCATGCTGGAAAGTCAAGAGACAGAGGGAAAGAGCAGTGATTCCTAACACTTAAGGACTGCTGGAGTAGTGAAACTCATCAACAGACTTTCCAGAGTTTCCCTGTGTTGTTCCCTGTTCTCAAGTGTGGTAGCTACTGCAGCAGCACAGACAAGACTTTTGCACACCCTTGTATCTAGGTGGCATTAAGATGGAACTACTTTTTTTTTCTTTTTTTTCTACTGTAGTCCATCAGAATGTTCTGAACAATGTTCTACACATCCAAATGGGAAGAGAACTAAAGAATGTATCTGTTGTTCTGAGTTTTTTAATGGTTATTGTATTCATTCTAACTAATCTTCTTTGACAGTTTCAATGAATATAAATAGCAGATGTACCAAGTAATGATCGCTTTAAAATTAAAGACCTATTTCTTAATTTTCCAAAATAGCTTCTTTCTCTCTGACACAAAGGTGTATTTATTCTCCCCACCTTAAGACTATAATAAGTATGTATTAGATTACAGACCTAATCTGCAGTTTGTCTCCAGAGATTTTTGTTCTCATTAGGGATATATAGATGAATATGGAAAATAGAAAAAAACCATATATTTTTCTCTCTTCCTCCTGACTTCAAAGCATTTTGTATACCACTTAAACCACCAGTGTCTGTTTTTAAATGTTCTTTAAACTCTAGTTGATTATGGCAGATCATTTCACATATCCCGCTCCCAGCAGTCTTGCTACTTCTGTCATTTCTGTTTTCAGGCTTAATATTGTAGCTATTCATGTGTATCTGAAATAAAATAGCCATGTTTGTAAGTGATTAAAACTGTTTGATCTTACAATGAAAATTAAATAGCTATTATGTTTTCCGTCTTCTGTTGAATTCTTGATGTTTCTTTTATTTGACAAGACTTAAACCCCATAATATAAAATTATTTCATCTCAGTTTTGCTTTTTTTCTTTACTGCTGATAAAGATGTTCCAATGTTTTTGGTATTTACAAAGGGTTTACCCCACTGAAAGGTATTGTTGTGTTATGGAAGTCATGCTCCTGAAAATACCCACATGCACCCCTTTATTGTAGATCAGAGATTCATGCACAGACATGCACCGTTACTGCAGCCTAAAGCAGCTGCCATTTTATGTGCTTTGTGAAATCTAACCAACACTGACAATCAAATGCTTTTTTTTTGCCCATACAGTCTCTTTGCTGGACTTTAGCCAGAGGGAAGAAGCATCCCCAATAGGAACATCACACATCTGACAGGTATTACATCTACAAAATACCTGTGTATTGTATTGTATAGCTGGCAGAGAGCTGGCAGAGAGGTTTTACCACACAGCTACCACCCATGCTATGCATTTGCATTTGTTCATGGGCTGTCTTTTGGGACCACTCAGCAAAGGGTAAATTTCATCCAACTGAGGCAATACTGAATAGCCTCCTCTTATCTGCATTCCTTCAACAAGTGCAGTATCTCAGAATTACTTTCAAGGTTGGAAAGGTCAGTAACCTACTCTGCTGGTGCAAAACAGGTGGCTTAAGGAAGTCTGAAGTAGCTGACATGGAGGACCAGAGATGGAAACCACAGTGGAGAGGGACCCAGAGTTAACGTGTATCTGTGGTACACATGCTTGTTTGTGTTGCAGTCCCATTCTTGTACACCACCCTCCTTTATAGCATCCGGGCACATAAAAGCATTGTTTCAAGAATTTAAAATGATCCCATGGAAATCAAGTGGTTGAGCATTACTGAAACAGAATTCCTTATATGCTTTAAGTGGAGCATATGCTAAAACGCTCTTCTGGGTCATGACCTATATTGAATTTTCCTCTTCCATCACAGTTGCAGCACTGGATATATTTAGAATCTTCTCTTACATTAAACAGACACTGAAATTTGGGTTAGAGGAGTAGTGCTTACACAAGTATTTTGCAAGCCTGAGAAACGTTTATTTTATTTTATTTTTTTCTATTAAAATACCAGTCGTGCAAAACAGATGAATTTAGCAAACTATTCATGTGATAAACTATAAACACATACACAGAGTTAATTGCTCACTGATGTTGAGTTTAGAACCTTAAGCAGGGTGCTAAACACCCTGGAAAACTGGTGCTTACTTTGTTCTTGAGCTGTATGAACCTGTCATTGAGAGAAAAGGTATGGATAGAAGGTTAAAAGAAACACTGCACAAGAAATAAAGACAAACAGGAAGATTTAAAATGCAACTCAATTAAAAGCAGGATTAATGTGTTTGATCTATAATATGTGGGGTTTGCAAATGATCGCTACAGTCCTCATTTGCCTGTTTATTATCTGGTTGCAGATTAACCAAGTTGCAGATGCAGAAATATATATATATATATTTCCAAATGTATGTATGTTTTTTGTCTAAAGAATTGTTAGTCTAAGCTGCATGAGAGAGCTCTTTTGTAGTCAAGTCGGATATAAAAGATGAGTAGCTACCAGGGCTAACTATACTCTAGATCTTGTCAAATAAGCCTTTCTAGGCTGAGGCAGCTGTGTATTTCTGACCAGTATACCTAGAACTGCAAACACTTCCTGCTGGGAGAAACATCATGCTGAAAAACTTTGGTAGCAAAGAATTTATTAATTCTGTATTACTCTTAACTCAGACAGACAGGAGATAGTGAAGCCCCTTCCAAGCTCTTTGGGGGCCTCCAGGCCTGGGCTTTAGGGGTTTGGACAGGGTTATGGTCTGAAGCACCCCTAAAGTTGTGGTTCATTTTTTGTTAGTATCTTGAAGATAGGTCATAAATCCTGATGAACTTTGGCTGAGCCTGTAAAGAGCCAATTAAGTGCTTCTGAATACTTCCTACTAAGCCAGTTTATCCAGCTTTAACCAATATCCAGGATATACCACCCTCCCATTAGCTTGGCTAATGAATAATTAATGATAGTGTTTTCTCTTAATCCATACAGTAACGGATTTATGGCCCTGAATCAGCAGAATATTTTAAAACGTGCTTAACTCAAAATACAGACTAGTCTCACTGAAGTCAATAGAACCACTCAGTGCCTAAAATTAGGTACATACTTAATTAGCTTGATAAATTACACCATCAAACTTCTATTAGGGCTAACCTGGTATTAAAATGCATTAATCCCAATTTCCATTTTCAGCGAGTGCAGCACAGGCAATAGCATCTTTTTCATCAGCATAAAACACTGTCCCGTACTTTTATAGAGCCAAGACATATATTAGGACCAAGCAAAAAGGTAACTGTTGTCTCCAAATTTTAGAACGTAATGAAGTAATTATTCATTCTCAGCCACACTGCATACTTAAAAGAAAAGGAAAAAAAAAAAAAAAGAAAAAAAAAAGCAAGGAAATAAAAATAAACTCCTGTAACTTCATTGTGCATGCATAAAACAATTTAGGTACATTGCACATGTATAAAATTGGCCTCAATCTTTTCCAGATGTCATTAAGACAGTAATTTTCTTTGGGTCAGCCCTTCATCAGAAGCTCCATGTAAGAGGTGGGTGAACATGCTGAGGCATGTCTTTTGTTGTTATTAATCAGGAAAGCTCAATTTGTTTTCTGGAAGGCAATGAAGGAGTAAATAGGTTTTAAGGTAGAGGACTGATTATTAGTGTGTTCTAATTTAGAAAGATAAAAAGGAGTAAATAAACTTTTTTTTTTTTTTAAGTTTGTTTGCTATAATTCCTCATACAACTACCTTCACCTATGGCATATGCCATTATTCTCATTATTCTGATATAATACTGCATCAGCTGAGCTTAAAAAGAAATGTCGGATGAAATGAGTGGCAAAACAGTTTGCAGGGTGGCATATTTTAAAAGGATTTTGCAAATCATTGATAGTACAGCAATGCAGAGGCTGAATTTGGTTGTCATTGAAGACAAAGATCATTTTACACTAATTGCAGTGTGAATTGTATCTAATTTTAGTTTTAAATCATGAGTTACTAATCATACAGAAAATTTCTCCTGTTTTAGAAAGCCCATGAACAAAGGATTGAGACAAGGAGACTGCTCAGTGGAAACATCATACATGTACATGTTTGCACTGTCCAAGATATGACACTTGGTTATATGGATCTTTGATGTGATGTGACCAATTCTCTGTTGTGCAACTTTCACTCCAGGTCATAACGGAGTAGTAATGACTTATATGTCTTTTACATGCATAATATGCTTCCAAATGGGGCCTAGCAGACAAAAAGGATTGTGCACATAGAAGTTTCTTCATGTGTACTATACAGGAAAGTAAATCTTGAAGTGTATGTTAAAAGTAATCAGTATTCTTATACTCACTTTGTGGATGCTATTAATAAACAGATGCTTGTAAATGATAGGTCAGCTGCCATATACCACCTGTTTCACTGTTAGGGGTCTGCAGTTTTTGTGAGAGAATTTATTTAAATCATGCTCAGCTACTTCCATGTAAGAATCATATATCAAAATATTAGCTGATGGCTTATTTTCAGTTTTTATCCCAGCATATTCATAGTTGCACCATGTTGACCTACTGTTTGACAAGCAGAGATGTTGAATTATACCTTCTTTATCACTCCCATATAGTGAGAGGCTACACAGTTATGACAGATTAATAAATACAGTAGTGATCATACAAAGAATTATAACTGCACTTGCATTAATTAAAAAAGAAAACACAGCAGTGGCGAGAAGAGATTTAAACCGCACTTTACCATTGTGTATACCAAATACCTCTACATTTCATACATGCAAAGAGGAATATTTCAAGATGTAGAAAACTTCTTAGGGCTGCTTTGTATTCCTCTGTTCTCCCTGCTGAAGCTCTGTATGAGATAAAACCCATGAGGAAGAATGGAAAAGTCAGATTTATTTCTGCATGGCTTTCTTCACCGGTTTGTCACAAGCCTCATTTGGTGTGCACAAGGAGCATAAGCCCCAGACCTGCTGAGGGGCATTGAGGGTCTCCAGGATCTCCACTGGGCTGTGCTGAGCCCACTAGGGAACAATGGTCGTGAGTTCCAAAGTGGTTTGGCTAGAAGTAACAAGGACTTAACTGTCCTACCACCTAGTGGGATCCTCAGTCTTCCAGGTAGTTTGTTTGAATAGATGCAGTCAGCTGTTTAAGAGACCTCAGCACCAGCTGGGAGACAGCTACTTGAGAGTGACATGCAAAGCAGGCAACAACTGGGCTAGTGACTGATTGTGTCCAGCTGATCTGAGACACCTAGCTTTTTGCTAGGGGTCCAAACACGTCATTAGAGTCAGTACCTCGATGTTTGTATATACAGAAAGCTTGGTGATCACAAGCAGCGGAGATCTCGCACCTCTGAGAATATTGCTCTAATGGTTAGATTGGGAAAATAATCCTGGCTAAGCCCTCCAGCTACATAAGCACTGTCACTAGCAGATATGCAGCACTTCTTCCTGCTGTCCCTTCTCACCTACTCCCTTGCAGAGCGTCTGTCACCTCTCTGACCTGCAGACCCAGATCTCCCATGGAAACTCACTCACACTGCATGGGCAAAGGCAAGGAATTTAGTGTCCAAGGGCTGAGCTAGCCACAAGCATGTTCAACTTGCCAGGTCTTTGACTTTTAATGCAAGCCTTATGTTTATGGAAAAAGTATTTGGCTGATGATATAAAGCCTGCAACACAAAGGGACCCCATTTAATGATTTAGACAATCCTTACCAGTGCTTTATTACCACTTGATGAGAATCCCCCGTATAGTGACTGCAATTGCAGTGCCTATCACACAGCGTACTGAGAAACGAATCCCTGAGAGAATGGTTTAACCTTCCTACATGTATCTTTCTGCATTTGCCACAAGCCTTGAGCACTCCGGTCGCACTCTTAAGCGACCCACCAGTGGAGGCGGCCGGCGGGCACGAGATGGCG